AGGAGAGCGAGTCCTCGGCCTCCCTCCCCCTCCTCTGTGTCCTCACTCCTCCCACCCCCACCCAGGCGCTCGGGGCCTGCAGTCAATGAGACGGAAAATGAGAACGTCTCAGGAACCAGCAAAGCATGGCGAGCAGCTGGGCAGCCGCGGTGCGCGGTGTGATGGACTCCGGCTCCCCAGCACCAGCCCGGCCCAGCCCAGAGGGGATCCCAGCTGGACACCAGGGCAGGGCCTGTCTTCAGGAGGCCCAGAAGCCTCACCTTAGAAAAACAGCGGAATTCACGAGTCTGGACACAGAGAGGTGCCCAGGATGCAGGGCTGTGACCTCACCAGACAAGGGCCCCCTTTGGGCTACGGGATAAAAGTGTTGGCTAGTGCATGAAGTGGGCCAAATCCAGGAATGTGTTAGAGGAGAAACACTCACTTTCTACTTCACACACGCTTCCCTTTGGGCCCTTGAAACAAGCATATATCACTTTTGCCATCGAAAAATAATCGTACAGTAACAATAATCCGGTGAGGGCACAGCCTCGCAGACACCCACGGGCCGGGAAGGTGCTCAGGGTCTTTGGGCTGGGATTCTACCGAGTCAGGGTGAGGAGGCTGAAAAAAAACACCCAAATCAAAACGCAGAGTTGGATTTGTTTCTAAAGAGACAGATCAATCCATAATGAGGCTGGTTTGCAAGAAGGAACCGCTTAAAACAAAGGGGGGTGAGCGTGAAACAGGCTCTGGCGTCCACAGCCCAAACCTGGACGGAGCGTAGGGTCAGGCGGCTGGACACCAAGCCGCCTCATGTTGTGTCCCCCCAGGGGCCCACTTCCCTGGAGCAGCCTTTAGGAATGAATGACTCCAGGCCGTTCCTGACCTTCCAGCTTCCTCCTGCGACCAAGCCCAGCACCCGCACACAGCACACCCCGAGCCGAAGAATTGGGGAGAGTGAGAGTCTGAATGGACATGGGGGCAGGGCGATGAGGGGTTGGTTCAAGGGTGGAGGTCGCTCCGGCTGAGGGAGTCTGCCAGCTCCCAAACGGCCAGTGTCCCCTCCGGAGGAGTCGGCACTGGTTGCGATGTAGAGACAGAGTTTATTGGAGCTGCACTCCCAACCCCCCGCCAGGAGAGCCGGGCACAGCACCAACAGGGTGGACAGACAGACCCCAACAGACGCGCGGACAAAGCAGACCGCAGCACAGCCACACAGGCACGGAGACACACGGGCCAAGCACCAGGAACACACACACAAAGCCACAGGCAGGACACGCAGACAAAGTGCAGGCTTGGGGCCCCCTGCATAGACGGAGTGAGGGCGCCGGGAATGGGGCCCCGCTGTCCTCCCCAGCACAGGCACTCCCAGCACAGGCAGACGCCCCCAGCGCCACACAGCAGATGGGCTCTCGGCTGCTGGGAGAGGCCTCGGGCTTTCCACACCCCAGCCAGGTCCCCGCCCCGAATAGTGGGTTCAGCCCCGCGCTTTGGTCTAGCCACTGGGGCTGTGCAGGGGTTTGCGGGTGGCGGGAGGGAGAGAGAAAGGGGTGCGCCAGGCTCCGCGCCTTCTCGGGACCAGAGAGGCAGGAGGGGAGTCCAGCGAGCCTGGCTCAGGCCTGGGGGGGCTCCCGGCAGCGCAGGCACTGGGACATCTCGGGCTGGTACTGCTCGACCTGCAGGGTGCAGCTGGAGAAGCCAAACCGGGAGTGCAGCCGGGAGGAGGCTTCGGCCAGGACGGCCTCGGGGTCAGCAGTGGCGTCTGCGGAGAGCGATAAGGGGCGTCACTCCCCAGGGAGACTGGTGCGGCTGAGATAAGGCTGGCGCTGCGGCTTCCCGCATTATGAGCAGCTGAGCTGTGAGATGTGGTGCCGGATTCCAGGCGGCCCCTGCCGACACCCGCGCTGTTCCTGGGCTGACACACGGCCACACCCCCGGTTTCCCAGGCCAGGCCAGACGTTAAGTATTCTGTCCTACTGTCCCTCTAGAGTCGCCCTCCAATATCCCACAAATTGTCATGTGTTTGGCATCCAAACTGCATATCTCTGATTGCTTCTTGCATCTGGAAGAAACTCAAAAATCCTTTGTCAGCTCATGAGTCACCATACATATTTTTAATAGTTGAATCAGAATGTGGATGTGATTTTATAGTCTGCTTTTTTTCTCTCCACATTATTCCATAAACATTCTTCCCAGTTGCCACACAGTCTTCACAGTCGTCATTTTTACAGTTCCGTGATACCCAGGGAAGAGGTGTCACGATTTACCTGGCTGAGCCCCATCACTGAACCTGTGGCTGCCAGGGACCTCCTCAAGGGTTGCTGGTTCCCTGAGCTGCTTCAGAGAGGGTGAGACTGCCTCCTGAACCCTGTGTCCAGGGTGCCTTGTGTCCAAGCACGTGTGTGTGTGTGTGTGTGTGTGTGTGTGTGTGTGTGTACACACATGCATGTGGGGGGCACTGATGGAGGACAGAGAGAGCTAGAAGAACTAATAACCCCGGTCATGCAAGCTGTTGTCCCATTCTGGGGGTGGCGTATGTCACTGGCTGGGCCCATGTGACTCACCAATGGCCAGGTGTGCAGAGGCAACGTGGTAGGTGAGCGTGAGGGCCCACAGGTGCAGCTCGTGGATTGCCCGGACTCCTGGCACTGACAACAGGGTTTCCCGCACAGGCTCAAACCCCACGCTGCGGGGGGTACCTGCAACCAGCACGGCCACATCTCATTGCCAGGCCCCCCGCTGATCCACGATGCACCCTGTGCCCAAATCCACCAGGAACAGGCCCACAACCCAGGCCTTCTCCCACACTCTCCTCCGGGAAAGGGGGGCCATGCTTGCGTGAAGTCAGAGGGGAGCCATGGTGTCTGCCTCACCTTCCATGAGGATACGGAGAACATCCCGGAGGGTGGGCGCTGTGGACCCGAGGGCACAGATGGAGAAGAGGAAGGTGCTGATGGGGTCAGCCACCTTGTACTGAGGCTGCAGAGAGAGAGACCCCTAAGCACAGCACCAGGGACCTTTTGGAGGAAGATCTGCGGTTCCGAACAAACAGGACCCGAGAGGCCCCTGAGACCCCTGCAGAGGGGAAGGGAGCATGACCAGGGCTGGCAGTGGGAGGGGGCTGGGTTGCAGTAGGGGAGGGAGCTGGGTGTGCGGGGGTGGGGCCGAGTGGCAGTGGGGGAGGGGGCTGGTTGTGCAGTGAGGGGTGCCTGGGTGAGCAGGGGGGAGACCAGGCAGGCCCTAAGGACACACCTTGAAGTAGATGAGGATGGAGGCGGCCAGGACCCCGAGGCTCTGCAGGAGGTCCCCCAGCACATGCACGAAGGCTGCCCGCACGCTGGTGTTCCCCAGGGGCAGGGGCTCCGCGGGCCCCTCCTCCAGTGGCGCGTACTCTGCCCCCCTGGACCCATGGCCGTGGGGGGGCCCAGCCTGGTGCAGCACGAAGGCCATCCTGGGGGCAGCTGGGCTCAGCTGGGCCTGCTCCTGCCCCCCTTTCCCGCACCCCTCACCCCCCCACCCTGCAGCCCTTTCTCCACCCACGTCCCAGACCCTGGGGCAAACAGTGCTGTCCGGGAGAGGCAAGGGGCAGCCTGCAAAGGATCACTGGAATTGGGGCTGAGGAGAGGACCAACCGCGACCCTTCTCACACCACGGTGGGGCTTGGTCTCCTGGCCACCAGTTGGGTCTCCTCCAGACCGGGGTGGCAGACCGGGGTGGCAGACCGGGGTGGCATGGTCTACCTCCTGGGGCAGCACAAGGCTGACATGAGAGGACGCAGGTGAAAGCCCTTTCCCCTGCCCCCGACCCTGGGCAGAGGCCTCCACCCCAGACCTTCTTGGCATGGGCAGGGCAGAGGGCTGTGCCTGTGTCCGGTGGGAGGGAGGAGCCCTGGCATTGGGAGGAGCCCCTGAACCCCGCTGTCCACCCCTTCCCCACGTACAGCAGGTTGGCGCAGACGGCGATGCTGGCAGTCAGCAGCATGGCACCCGCCTCGATGTGATAATCGCTGTGCAGCAGGCGGACAAAGGCCAGGTAGAGCAGGACGCCGGTGACCACCCAGAGGGACAGCACAGAGGCCAGGGCTCCCAGCGTCTCTGCAAGAGGACAAGCCATCATGCCCGCTGGGCCCCAAGACTCCCCTGGCGACATTGGAGGGCCCGGGCCTCGAGGGCCTCACCTGAGCGGTGCCAGCCGAAGGTCATTGTGCGGGTGGCTGGCCGGGTGGACAGCCACAGGGAGAAGAGGCTGCCCATCATGCTGCCCACGTCCGCCAGCAGGTGCGCCGCGTCGGTCATGATAGCCAGGCTGTGCGCCAGGTACCCGCCTGCCAGGGCGAAATGGTGCACGCTGGTTCCATGCCAAAAGTGTCACGTGGTGCGTGTGTGCAGGCGTGGACGGCAAATTGGGGAATCTACACCAAAGTGGGAACTAGGACTTTCTCAGGTGATGGGATTACAGGTAGCTTTTATTTTCTTCTTCTCACTCATTCACGCTTTTTAGTTTGTCTACAAGGACATATTTTGTTTCAGTAACAAGAAGCTCAGGTTTTTGAAAGCCCAGTTGACACCGACATGGCAGCCCTGGGCACTGGCTCTGGACTCCAGCCCGAGTTCCCCTGGGTGCTCTGTGCCCTGCAGTCCTGGGCAGCCCTGGCCTGCATCCCCTTCTCCGCATCTCCGCCCAGGAACACCTCGGGGCTCTGGCGGGGGGCTGCAGGAGGATGGGCTGGAGTGCTTCCTACTTACCGACCACCTCCCCAGCCATGAACACGAAGCACACAGCACAGGCGGCATACAGCTGCCTCCGTGCCTGCAGCCTCTCGGGGCTGAGGCCAGGCTGTGGCAGGGGGTCCCTGTGGCAGTGGTGGAAGGACATCTCCACAGGCTTGGGCTCCTCAGGGAGGGGCTCTGTGAAGAGACTGAGGTGGGGGGCACGCTCAGCTTGGGCCTGACCCGAAAGGCTGCCTGCCCACAGGCCTGCGTGAGGACTGCCCGACCAGCTCTCGCTCCTACCCAAGGTCTGGTCACCTGGCACCTTGAGGACAGGGTCCCACAAGAGATGGGGTTGACTAAACCATTCAGACCCAGCCTTCCTTTCCTTCCATACACAGAACCACAGCATTTCACAGTTGGAAAGCATCTTTCAGAAGTCTAGTGTCTCTCTCTCTCTCCCCCCTAATTTTTTTTTTTTTTTTTTTTTTTTTGAGACAGACTGGAGTGCAGTGGCACAATCATTGCTCATTGCAGCCTTGACCTCCTGGGCTCAAGTGACTCTCCTGCCTCAGCCTCCCAAGTAGCTGGGACTATAGGCATGAGCCACCATGCCCATCAGTAGCCTAACATTATATTAAATAAATTAGAGCTATGAGACTCAGAGAGGTAGAGAACACATAGAAGCAAACACAGCTAGTTGGTGGTAGAGTCGAGGCTAGACCCCAGCCAAGTCAATTCATCCCAGGAGGCACCACAAGGAATACAAAGGGAGCAGGCCGTGCCCACTGATCTCTGGAAGCTTGTGGGAACCTAACTGCTATGATATGCAGCAGAAGATGGCCACTGCCACTAGGGCGACTGAAGTGCTATCAGGGCCCCGAGGACAGACAGACTGATGGATTCTAATGAAATCAGGAAACAGCTGAAGGGGGTAACAGAAGGCCTGGAAGAATGGGAAGAATTTCATAAGACCACACCAGGCAAAGGGATGTGAGGGGAAGGGGCCTGACGGTAGGGAGCGGGACTCAGCTCTGCCCTGGCCGCCCTCCCAGGCACAACCTTCCAGGCCCTCCACTCCAGACCCCACCCCTGGACACACTGGTGACGTGTGGCCCTTTAAGAGGGGAGAGGAATGTTGGGACCCAAAAGCCCGGGATTCCTGGCACAGAGGTCTGATGTGATTTCAGAGCTGGGGTTGTCACAGGAGGAAGGGGTGCTATGGTGTAGCTGGGACTCGCCACAGTCTGGCCACAGCACTCAGCTGAGGCTACCTGGCCTGCACAGTGCCCGAGGCCTCCCTTGACAAATGGCCGGGCTGGGGACACCAGGGCCAAGCTCAGGTTGGCTAGGGTCTAGGTCCATTCTGGCTCAACTCTCACCCCAACACAACCCGACCTGAGCCCCAGCAAAGACGAACCTTCCATGGCATGAAGGGCCTAGATAGAAAACACAGTGCTAGAAACGCTCACAGAGGTGTGACAAGAATACCCATGCGTGGAAACAAGGGCTCCAGACAGAAACGTGAGCACCACGGCAGAGTTGGGTGGGGCGCCAGGGCCTTCTGGCTGGAGAGAGCCCAGCCAAGTGAGTGAAGGCTTGAGTGAGGTGGGGGGACATAGGATGCTGGTTGGGAAAATTCAAGTGCTGGAAGGAGATTCCTTTCTTGAATTTCAGAGGCCCCATCCAAGTCTGAGAATCTGGGTGTGTGTGATTCGGGTAGAGGAAGGGGCTTTGAAACCCATCTCGGCCATTCAGTGAGGTGTGCCGGCTGTGTGGATGTGAGGCGCCCATCCAGTGGGCGGGACAGATGTGTCACCAATGGCTTCCTGTGCAGGAGGGGCTGTACGGACAAAGGACTTTGGGGCCGGGGAAGGAGCACCCCGCAGGGGATTCGGAGAGCCTGGCAGAGGAGACATGGGAGAAGGTGGCACTGAGGTGGATGTGGTGGCATGATGAGGACAAGGCCTGTGGCTGGAGCCTACGTGTGGGCGCCGCGGACGGCTGAGGACAGCGGGGGGCTCGGAGCAGAGAGGCAGACCGCCAACGCTTGGACAGGTCCTTCCCAGCCCTGGGATGACCTTGGTGGTGGACGCAGAGGGGAGCGAGCAGAGGGGCCGAGGCCAAGCCTGCCGAGTTTGCAGGAGGGGCAGGTAGGCTGGGCAGCGCCTTTTCAGGAAATGCTGCAGAATTTGGTGACACACGGTCATATGAGAACGGAGATGGGGAGCGCGGTCTGGGGGGCAGGAGCTGGGTGGCTTGGGGCAGCAGACCAGACCCCTCCGGCTGGTGGGGACAACCACCCATCAACAGGCTGCCGCCTTTGTTCAGCAGACACCGGGCCCTGCCGACGCCTGTTGGCTGCAGGGGTGCGTGTGCGGGCCACATCTGGGGAGGGGAAAGGCTGCCTGCTCCCCTCCGCGCCCTGACACGCACTCCTGAGTGGGGCCGGGTGACGCAGGGCAGGAGAGGGGGCCGCGGCGTCGGGACGGCGGGGAGGCGGCCCCACGAGGAGGGGGGCCCCTCCGCCACCCGCCTCGCC